AGTTCGAGACCAGGATAGGCTATGTGCGCTCGAGGATCTTGTCTTTTAAAAAAGCAGGAGGAGGTGATAAGAGGAGAGGGATGCAGGAAGTGAGCAGGACAAGGTCAGGCAGCAGGTGGCAGAACCACTGTGACAAGGAGCCCAGGTCCTTCGTCCATGCTGGCTGGCGGCCTATCTGTCGTTTAAGTTAACCCTCCTGATGGGCCTGGCCCGGTGAGAGGAGCACAGAGGAATGAATGACCAGATATCAGCATCCCATCCCAGAGCTGAGACCCTGAGAAATGAAGAGCATTGCCTCAAGTCACCCAAATGCAACTAGTGTGAAGCCAACATCTCAGCCACAGAAAGCAAAATCTCTCCTCCCCTAAATTTGGGTAAGAGGACAGTGGGAAGGAACAGGACATGGAAGAAGTGCAATCTGCCCTCAGTAGCTGGTGCTCAGTGAGCACTCCACTGGGGAGTCCCTCACACCCTGGGGAGAGGACAGAGAACCAGAAAGGCTGCTGACTTGTGTGCCTGGGTATCAAGAGCTCTTCCCACCCAGGATCTCTGAGGGTGCTTTATTTCTTTCTGGTGCTGGGTATTGAACATTGGGTCTCACAGATGTGCCCTACTGCTGAGCCATGCCACCAGCCTCACCACTGGGGAATTCTAGACAGGGGCTCTACTGCTGAGCCAAGCCACCAGCCTTCTCTTTACTTCAGAGAATTTTTATTATGTTTATTTCTTCCTTTATACACATACATGGGCTTGTGACTGTCACTGCACACATATGGAGGTCAGAGGACAACTCTATGGGGTTGGTTCTCTCCTTCCATCAAGCTGGTCCCAGGGATGGAACTCAGGTCCTTAGGCTGGCAGCAAGTGCTTTATCCATGAAGCCACTCCTATTGTCTTTTTACTTTTTGTTTTGGGACATAAGTTTGCTAATGTCCATGCTGGCCTTGAACTTGGGATCCTCTTGCCCCTACCTTTGGAATAGTTGGAATGTCAGACCTTCCAGGCAGTTTCTATCTCTGGTTTTCCAGCTCAGCAGTGGGGAGATGTCATAGGCTTTTAAATATGGAGTGTAGCTCTCTGCTGGAGGATCTATTAAGAAAGAATAGTTAGGTTTAACCAATAAACACAGCAGCAATGCCTACCTGGGGCTCCAGTGGTCAGAGTAGAGGGCCCTTGGTAAGAAGCAGGAGATGGCCCAGTGCTAGTGCCTCATATTTTTGATCCCGGCACTCAGGATGCAGAGGTAGGTGGATCTCTGAGTTTGAGGCCAGCCTGGTCTACAGAGTGAGTTCCAGGACAGCCAGAGCTACACAGAGAAATCCTGTCTCAGGGGAGAAGAATCAGGAGATGTTCATAGCCCATAAAGACCCAAGGCAGTCCCCTCTGCCATGCCTTAGTGTCCTGAGAGGCCGCTGACAAGACAGGCTGGGGAGTAGAAACTCTCAGTGTGTGGGGTCACTCCAGGAGGAAATGCAGGACCCAACAGACATTAGTGACATCAAATGCTGATGCAACAAGGGGCACCCGTGAGCCTTCGGGGAGATCTGGGCCAGAAGCCTCAAGAGGGGACCAGAGCCAGGAAAGTTGGGACCAGGCACTCTGAGTTCAAAGACCACCTGCCTTGCTGGTCACTCACCAGGCCCAGGGAACTGCAGTGTCTATAAAGTAGGTGACAGCTGAGAGATCAGATTGGTACCCCACATGGAAAGGAGCTGTCTATTCTGAGGAGGGATTGTATGAGGGGAAGGGGCCGTTTGTAGATTTTTTCAAAGATTTATTTATTTAATGTATTTCTGTATATGTGTGTGTTTGTGTGTCTGTGCACAAGAATGTGGGTACCCACGGAGGTGTAGCTACAGGCAGTCGTGAGCTGCCCAGTGTGGGTGCTGGGGAAACCCCAGTCCCCTGGAGGAGGATTGGAGCAGTATATGTGTTAAAACTCTGAGCCATCTCTCCAGCCCCAGTTTTTGAGGCAGAATCTCATTTCACTCTGTAGCCCAGGCTAGCCTTGAACTCATGGCAGTCTTTCTGCCTCAGAGTCACATGTGCTGGGAAATAACAGCCGTGAGTCATCATTCTTAGCTGGTTTGGATATTTTATTTTTCCCACTTCCTTTTCCAACTGCCACTGAGTCCTCTTGAGCCAGGAAATGGCAGGGGGGGGGGCCCGGCTCTCTCTCTCTCTCTCTCTCTCTCTCTCTCTTTTGTTTGAGACAGGGTTTCTCTGTGGCTTTGGAGGCTGTCCTGGAACTCACTCTGTAGACCAGGCTGGCCTTAAACTCACAGAGCTCTGCCAGCCTCTGCCTCCCAAGAGCTAAGATTAAAGATGTGCGCCACCACCATGCCTTTCTTTCTTTCTTTCTTTCTTTCTTCCTTCCTTCCTTCCTTCCTTCCTTTCTATCTCTCTCGCTCTCTCTCTTCCTGTTTCTCTGTGTGTGTTCTGAATGTGATTATGTATTGTGTGCACATGTATGTGCTGGTATACTCACCTGTGCATGTATGTGTGATGGCTGGAGATGGGTATCTTATTCTATCACTGTCCAGATTTTCCATTTATTTTGTGTGTTATGTGTGTGTGTGTGCGCGTGCGTGCGCGCACATGCGTGTGCTATGTTTGTGCAGGTGCCATAGGATGCCAGAAGAGGGCACCAGATCCCTTCGGAGTGGAGTTATAGGCAATTGTCATCTGCTTGACATGAGTTCTAGGATCCATACTTATGTCCCTTGCAAGAGCACCAAGTGCTTTTACTGCTGGGCTGTCTCTCTAACTCCTCTACCGTATTTTGTGAGATGGGGTCTCTCACACACACACTGGAGCTCTCTATTTTATCTAGATTGGTTGGTCAGAGAGCCCCAGAGATCTGCTTTTCTCAAGATGCAGACAGACAGACACCACAGCACCAAGACACACACATACACACCACAGCACTGTGATACAGACACACCACAGCACTGAGATACACACACATACCACAACACTAAGCTATAGACACACACAGAAGGCACTGAAATACACATGCACACACTAACACACAGAGAGCACTGAGATACACACACACACACACACACACTCATGCATACAGCACTGAGATATACACACAGCACTGAGATACACACACACACACACACACACACACACACACACACACAC